ATGTACCAGGCCTTTCGTCCCAACTTGGGTCCCGCACGGGGCTCAAATCAAGGAAGCGAGGCGAGCACCAGGGACACCGAGGACAGGTCTAAGAAGCCTCGAGTGTCACCAGGGTGGGGTGGACAGAAGAGGCAATGGCAGCCGGCTCAACAGCAGCAATGGAGCGGATGGGAAGCTGAGTCAAAGGAAGACTTAGCAGCCGAGGTTGCTAGGCTCAAGGCCTGCATTGCGCAGCTTCAGCGCCTGGCATTGCGCCACGAGGACAGCATCAACATCGGCAAGATCGAGGTCAGCTGGGTTGCTCACTTCCGCATCGACGCCCCCAACTCCATTGTTAAGTGCATTTTTGTTGCGGCGGATGGATGGAAAAAGGCAAGGGACTCGGACCCGTCCAGCATAAGCAAGCCTCTACGCTCAACGTTGCTGGCATGCGTGTTCATGGAGCTTCGCACCAGAGTGCAGGAGATGAATGAAGAGCAGGCCAAAGCTCTGCAGGCCCTAGGGTGGTATGACATGGAGACGAAGGTTTGGGCGTATCTTCGTTGGAATCCCACCAACAAAGGGTTGGAGAAGGATACCACAAAAGCCGGAGCCACGACAGAGGCCCTGCTCTCTGCGATTGATGACATCACAAAGGCCGTACCGCAACAACATGCAGTGGCACGATTTCATCCAACTCGTCCCCTGGCTGCTGAGATGCGAGGAGAGTCCGTGACGTTCCTGGTTCAGTTTGGGCAGCAGAACGACCACGCCGAGAAGATTTGCACATGCATTCCGGTGCTCTGCAGCTCGGCGGTTACGCAGCTTATCTGTATGACGATCAAGCCGGAACGCCTCCAGCGCTCAAACTTGGCCAAGCAGATCTCCGAAGCCTACATTGAGTAGAGATGCCAGGGCTGACGGGACGTATGGCGACAGTTCTCAAGACACCAAGAAGTGGTGAGATGGCTAGTGACAGCCTGGCCGGGTTGTAGGGCGTGCTTGGCACTACGGTGCGATGCCCTACGGGCCGCAGTCAACAGCACTGCAGAGCTCCACTGCCTTTTTGGTTTAGATTCCCGGGACCCCCCCTAGGTATGGTTGTCGTCATAGGGGTTAGGTCATAAATCGAACTAGACAACGCCACGCCAGAGCAAAACATTGCGCCACGCAAAATTGAAGACCAACAGGCGTCACCGAGACGATGCGTGGATCGTGAGCGAGCGCGGTGCATGTCTCCACCAAGGTGCGCTCTTCTTTTTACCAATGCTGTGCAGAGGCTGGATTCCCAGTTGGCGCATACGTCTGAGCATTTTTCAGTTGCGTGGTGCATTGAGCTTTGTGCGTTGAGCGTTGTGCCTTGTGTGCAGTTTTTGGCCGACAGTGCGTATTCCCCTGAGCTTTGCCAGACACCTTAGGCTTTGGACTTTTGGCTTTGGTTGCTTAGGAGTACCGAGTGGATTGACAGGGCTTTCGGGCGCGCAAGGAAGCGCATGGACGCGTCATGCCGGGTGAGCAAGAGCTGGCCGACTCGGATAAGGAATGCGGCGCGCCGGGGCTCGCAGCTGCTCCCCCCGATGTGTATCACGGCATCTACATGGCGGGTGTAAAGCCTATGAGTAACATTGAAAAGGATCTTCGACATGGGCACCAGCAGCAGCAGCTGTATCTCATTCGAGGGGTCAGGCTTGAAGGACTCAAGCAACCGGAGTGCCAAGCAGAAGCACTGGCTTTGTCAATGATTTCGCATGGCCAAGCATCCTGGCAGCAGCTTCAGAGATTGGTCGGACTTCTGCCGTGCGACGCCACGGTTCGCTGGAAGCAGGAGCCGAACGCGCAGCAGCAAGCTCCTCATAGAGTGACGGTTGGTGCGTGGAATCGCGGGCCAATGACTGGTTTGCATAGAACAGGACTGGATTTTCCATGGAGTGCCAGGGTGATCTGTGGCATTATACGGTCCTGGGATGGTGATTTCTACTTTACCTCGTGCACCCTGAGTCGCAACATAGCTGCGGCACCGCATCGAGATAAATTCAATCATGCAGCTTCCCACAATCTTTGCTTGCCTTGCTCTGAATTCCAGGGAGGCGAAATCTTCATAGAAGACCCAGCCGGCAACTGCCAGTTACAGCCAATGGGCCCGCCAGGGCATGTGATGCAGGCCACCTCTGCTTTGCAGTTCTCACCGAGGCGTATCCATGCCACCCTGCCATGGGCTGGAGATCGTCTAATCTTGATAGCATTTCACATAGGGATGAGTGCGCGCTTGTCTGTAGAAGATCTTGCTGGTCTCTACGACTTGGGTGCTAACCCTGGGTTTCTGTGATCCGTAGGCCGTCTATCCAAGGTGGAGCTCGAAAAATGAAAGAAGATGCACTGCCCAGCCAATCGGGCAACCAAGATTTCCATTGCTGTGCCCCCTGAGGTCATGGAGGCTATGATGCGTGGCTCGTTGCTCCTTTTCATCGAATGATGATGTGCTTGCAGAGTTCACCCTCATATGTCTTCGTTTGTACAGGATCTCGAAGCTTTGCTGTTAATGCTGTGCCGATTGCAGGAGCCTAGGCTCGGATCGGCTTTTATCGAGCATGCTTGGCCCCAAGGGGCGGTGCTCGCAGTTTATCGGACCACGAAACACAAGTGGTGCTGTACTCAGCCGGGCAAACGCCTGCCGGACGCAAGGCGGACTCCGTCGCGAGTGAGAGAGAGAGAGTAGTAGTAGCAGCAGTAGTAGTAGTAGTAGTAGTAGTAGTAGTGGTAGTAGTAGTAGTAGTAGTAGTAGTAATGGCAGCAGTAGCAGTAGTAGTAGTAGTAGTAGTAGTAGTATTATTATTGGTAGTAGTAGTAGTAGTAGTAGTAGTAGTAGAAATAGCGATAGTGATAGTCATAGTACTGGTAATAGTAGTTCTACGGTAAGTCGGACAAAGAGATAACTTTCGCGTAAAAAGCTTAGTTTCGCGGCACTATCGCGGAACTTTCACCAAGACATGTTTGGCTATGGAGTGGGCCTTTCGCCTCAATAAGCCTTTCAGCCAACTACCACGTGTACACACACTGGTCTTGCCCCAGGGACGCGCCCGGCTATTCAAACACAGGCACATGTCTCAGTCCTTGCGAGAGAGACTCGTACGGTGAGCGGCTGACGATGAACATGATATGAAAATGGCGAAGCTGGCGGATGAGAACCCATCCAGGCAGGCATTCGGATTGCATGTTGTTGTCTTCGTCCCAAGCATTCTGATCGAGCAGGATGTGAAATGTTGACATTTGTGCTTTGCTGGCTCTCAACATGACACAAGCGTCTGTCAACGCTCAGAATCAGAAGCCCTTGTGTCTCTGAAGCGCCTAAGGACTGGGAGATGAAACGATGACAAGCAGAGATATCTTGCTTTAAGCAGTAGCTCAGGACGGCTACCGACAAACAGAACATGCGAAATCTCGAACAAGAAAGGAAATTGGACTCTAGCTTTTTGAAGAAGATTTGCTGCACTCGTTCACACAACGTGCGTTGCTCACAGTTTTCGGACAGATTAGGCCTATATGGGCTTCAGCCCACATCGTAAAGTGCAGACGAGCTGCGTCGTCAGTCGCGTGCACGGCTCGGGAGTCCTGGCTCAGACTTCCTCCGTGTTTTTGTTCAGGCTGGTTGGGCTTCTCGGTTTTCGATGCCGTTCATCGAACAGGAAACGCAGCGAGATGCAAGTGTCAATGACGCAAGACCGCTCACCTCCAGGCCACAAAGGTTTCACAAGAACTCAAACCTGCCGGCGTGACGAGATAAATCCGGCACAAATCGCCTTCGTCACCAAATCGGCATCCATCGTGCCACTGTACCTGCAAACGACAAAAAATGACAGAGCGAAGCCGCACTCGCCTCGTCGCAGCTCTCCGAAAGTCAAGTCGTACTCCTGTGTAACGAATGTAACGAGACATTTAGACGGGTAGGACCACACGTCTCTGTGCGTGAAACATCGAAGACACCGGCACACAGTAGACAGCCTCCAACCATTGATGCGCAAGGCGTCGGAAGACCACCTGAATGCATGCAACCCAAGCAGCTCGGACTGTAAATTTAGCGGGTCAGCTCAGCGGTGACACGAAAGATGTGCAGACGAGGCCGGGCTCTTTTCGCGATTTCAAGCCTTCCCTTAGCTTGCTTTGTCATTTGTGGTCAAATGTCACGCAAGGTGAATTTAGGAACCTAGATGGCTTGTCTCCGGCATTGTCTCAGAGAACTATCGCAGCATGATAGCAGCCAGTCACACTTTATCCGAACCAGCTTACAGGCTGCGTGATGCTGCACTATATTGCACTATACTAGATGGTAGGAAGCTAATGAAAACAACTTGATTTCTGTGTTCAATACCTCAGTGTCCACATCCACAGCGCTATTAAAGGCATCGTTCATCGAGAAGTCGTTGGGCGTCTGCTCTGCGCACAGAGGATTCCTTTGAGGCGCCGACGCGCTGTTCTCCCGTTGGTACGCCAGCTTGTCTTCCTGCCGATGGCGTAGACAACGGCATGCATCCTCTGCAAAAAAGACTGTCTGCCGTGGTGAACTCCGCGGCACTGTGCTTCTAAAACTGGGAGGCCGCTCGCGGCCTTCGTGTTCCTTATGCACTCCTCGACCTTTTCCACATCGAGCCCAACCTTCGGCAAACGCTTCGCTTTCTCAGGGCGGCGACAAGATTTTCAGGCAGTCGGCTTGGGCAACACAATTATTATTACTGGCTCTACAGCAGGCTGACATCTGTGGCGTCAGAAAATGTACGTGCTTTGGGGTGATTTGTGTAGTATAGGGCGTAATGCGAAGTTATACTATAAAGACATCAGCAAGACATCAGAAATCCACAGCGACAAAAGCCCCGGAATGAAGGTCCACAAGCCTGGTGCATCAAGCGCTCGGAGCACTTCTCGCCAAAAGTGTGGAGAGGGTCGCTGCCGGTTGCTGGGCACCTGATGTAAGGACTTCTGCCTGTGACGACAAGCGCTGAATCGAGGTCCAGCCAAGCTGGGGCAAGCGGAAAGCACGATTCCGAAGCATCTGGGCACCCAAGCTCGTCCAAATATTTGGACACATAGTCCCACCACCTCGGATGCGACTCGAGTTGAGCTACGAGATTCTACCAGATGCCCCAAACAACGCTTTGGAGATGCGCTCCATGATGTCTTCACGCGTCCCGTGATTGTCAACACGGAGGTCAAACTTTTGGGGAAGCCTTTCTCTGGTCTAGTCTGGTGCCTGCATTCTGCGGCCTATCTGGTTGGCAGCTAGTTCTGACAAAGTGTACTCGGAGGGGTCCAGCAGGAAATAGGGACGATGCTGGATGCCATAATATGCGAACAACGCCAAACAGCACGTCTCACCGAAAATCAACGGCTTCTCTACACGCCCGCCGCGCGGCCCCTCTGAGCAAGCGGCTCGGTGGAGAATTTCGCCTGTCTCATGTGCAAGGCCTGTGCTATCCTGGCAGTGACGCTTGGAGCCGGAGCAGCTCAGACCGAGTGAAGTTGAAAAACCTTGCCTCTCTCCGGTCGGAACCACCGTGATCTCGTGTATGCACAGCTGTCGGACGGCCTGCATGTGGGCAATAGAGGCTGCGCTGTCTCACGACGCAGACAGATGCCTCGTGCAGGACCTGTTTGCCGGTGATCTCACCACCTCCGTCTGGATCCTGGGATTCAAGTCATCAGGAGGCCCCTACTACTGGAAGTTCTCCATTCAGAGGATGAGCAGTGGACGTCAGCACAATACCGTCCAGTCGAATCGCTGCAAAGATCTTTGTAGTCCTGGCCACTAAAGGTTGGCAGCACGTGAGGTGCCTCGGAACAGTTCTGGGTAGTACTCCGAGGCTGGTGGACTGGCCGTAAAAGTAATGCCACGAAATCCGAAGAAAAGACGAGTGACTACTCAGACTTGTGAGCCCAAAGATGCCAACAGCCTCTTCCGTCCTTCCCCTCGAGGCTGAAGACGTGATAGTGAGGAACAAATTGCAGGTACTCGTTCAGCGCCTCCGAAAGTGCTGAAAGGGAACAGGGACTACATAGCCAGTTCTGAGTGAGAACTGCTCTGTGCTCAAGGGCACGAGATCAAGGCTTCGGCCCATGCCTAAACACTGAGATACCAAAGCTGGCGACAGCGTACATAGTCACTCGATTGACTGTACTGGGTGCCCGGCTGCTCGCTTCGGAGCGAACTCCTGCTCGAATCGAGGACCATGATAGTCAATAAGACTCGATGGGGAAGGCAGCCAACAGATGTAAGAGCAAGAGGGCAGTTCTGCGCAGCTCTGCCACAGAAAGAGACTTAGGTACAGTTCTAGCTGTGGAGTACATGCATCGTGAGTAGCAGCGAGCAGTAGACGTGACAAATTCCACGCCGGGAACGCGGAATCTCTCTCGTGAAACTTCACGAAAACCAGAGTGTGTCGCTGCACTCAAAGGACAAGGTGACACAGTGGCCAGCAGCACCGGCCTTGAGAAACTTGTGGCTCGCCGGACTGGCGGTATTCAACCACTGGTCCTTGCCACCACGGGACCACGGGTGGGGGATGGGACTAACCCCCTGAATGCTACGTGAGGCTGTTCGTTCGAGAGGATGCCAGAAGTCGTAGCACTGTTGAGATTCCAGCTCGGTGTTTCCTGTGAATAGGGCCTACACTGAAGATGGCTTTCGAAGTCGACAGCAGGCGACCCAAGATGTCTGACTTTTGGCGGGCTAGGCTGATGGGAGCTGATGAACGTCTGGTGATCTGTGAAGCCCTGGAAGATTTGAAAGAAATTCCTAGTTTGGACGACCCCCCGTTGTCCTTGGTCTGTGCGTCCTGAGACCCCAGCCACGAGCACCACATTCTGCGAGGGGATGTCCCAAGACAGCTCAACGACCACCTCGCTGGCACGGCCACCATCTCCAAGATTTGGCTTGCTGGATGCTCGGGCATGGGTGCAACATTTTTACGGCTCTCTGCACATTAAGTCCGCTGTACCAAGTGCCAACCTATGCAAGGTGCGAGACTCCAAATGCTGCGGTGCACAGATCACTGCCTAGATCTCCCAAGTTTGAAGGCAGCAAGAGCGGAGTCCCTGCAAAGGTGGCGCTGCGCATCTGTACAACTGAGATTGGAAAAGAAGAACCGGCAACGGAGCCCCTCAATGCGTCCCCCATGTCCCCAAGTCCTGCACGCAGGTGCAACGGGCATGGGCTTGCAGGAGTGCATGGGCCTGATTCTGATTTTCCCACAAGGAACCTACTTGGTCGTCGAGCCTCACTTTTTCCGATGGTTGCCCCTCCCTGCTCTCCGCAAATGTCGTTAACTTGACGTCAGAATCTCTTTCAAACACAGACATTCTGCTCAGCTTCAGAGAGACCTCGCGCAGTTCTCGTTGTCCGTACCTGTCTCGTCGGGATCCCCTTACGACGAGACTCGGAGAGGAAAGCAGGGAGAACGGCCCACCGGGGCTCCTCCATGCCAACTTCAGTCTTGCGAAGCCTCCTGCCCAGTGGCGATCACCGGTGAGATGCAAGACTTTGAGGGTGGATCCCAGGGCTGGCGTGCAGTGGCTCTTGCGCCGAAGCCGGACGAATGCGATCATGCTGCGTGTGCGTTGGGACCTCCTCCTCATCTTCCTCGACGTCGCCAGACGGATTGCGCGCACTGGCCTCGAAGCAGTCCAAGCATCAGATCATCAGCAAAGTCCTAGTCCCACACAGAAGACTCCTGCAGCGTGCTAGTGAGCGCATGCACTGGGTCGCCACGAGCTAGGTGCAACTTTATGCCTGTATAACTCCCGAACTGGACTAGTATAGCGCGATGCTCTCGTGCTGGCCATGCGCCACAGCCAGTGCTGGTGTGTGAGAAGGTATTTCCTGTAAAGAGGAAAGGCAGGGGCGAGGCATGAACACATCATCTGAGTGCCCCTCTGCGCCACGTCCAGAGCCACGACCATACCTCCCATTACAGTAACGTTTTCTCGTGAAGAGCCGCAAATATCCATTAGAATGAACGACCAGCTTTCGGCCGGACCTCACTAGTTCAAGGCAGTCGTCGCCGTTCTCAGACAGCATTCAGACAGGACAGCAGCGAGAAAACGAGAATCAGAATAGGCTCAGGCGAAGGCGCGATAGTGATAGGTTTGTGCTATAGGCTTTATTGCAAGCAGACATCAGGGAAGCAGTCTTCCAAGATTTCAAGACTTGATACAGCGCGAAGCATGCATGCAGGTATGCAAGCATGTAAGCACGTGACAGCACGTGTATATGTGCATGCTGGTTACATGCAGGTGCACGGAAATCAAAGAGCTTCGCTGGCATGGCCTGGCTCGGTGCTTCGCTCGCTGCTGGCCAACCCTGCACAGATGCGCGAGAACCGATTGTTGTAAGCTCCGGTGACTAGTGCTAGGTGCAGGTGATTCTGGTGACGGCGATGATGACAAAGCCGCAGATAGGAGGCAGGAGGTATGAGAGTCAATGTGCTTCGGATGAGAGCCCTCCTCAGAGGTTCTTAAGCACGGGCATGGTCCCAGACGTGTCTCGGGTGGGGCGGTGCCTGTGACGGAAGTCGTAGTCGGTCAAGAACTCGTCCACCTCTTCGTCTTCCACCTTCTCATCCGCGGCGCCCTGCGGCTTCGACAGGGATGTGCTCCCAAGCATCGATTGTCCCTCCTGCCAGCTTCCCGCGTAATGGCATTCTATTCGCACTTGGAATTGTCGATTGAAAGACAGACTGGGCATTAGGATTCAGCTGCACGTGCGCTACCGTACCGTACTGTCTGAACGTCTATGTCTATATGCTAGATTCGGTCTTAGGACACTAGCAACCAACCCACAGATGTGGCAAAAGGCCGCAGTTTTTTGCCGCTGGCAGACAGACCGCAGATCGGGGTCCGCAATTTGCTGTTGCACGCTGGGCTCGCTTGAGCTACCCGATTCCCAACATTAGCCGTCCGATGATTTGCTCCTTTTGAGACCGTAGCTTTCTTCGGAGCGACATGAGACATCAGACGGCCCGTTGAGGATGCACCGCTACCTTGAACAGCTAAAGCTCTAAAACTAACAGTTAAAGATTCAGAGACGGCTCTTGAAAGCCGGCAGATTGCTGGGAAACAAAACGTCGTCGGCCAAGGCATCAGTTGGGAGAGGAGGCACCTCCTCGTCTTCCAGATAAAGCCTCGGATTGGGCCCAGCCGGCCGAAAACTCTGAGTGGCTGCTCTTTCACTTGCATACCGGCTGCTGCTTGTTTTCGTAGCCGGGAACAATCGCCTCGCATCCCCAACATGCAGGAGCCCAAAGTCCATCAGAGTCCAACGGTCCTGGCCTTGTGCTTCTCGAAAATTCGGAGCAGCTCTTGGACAAACCTTTGCAGCAGGCACATGCCCGAAAACAAGCCCTCCGCTGGCTCTCTTCAAGGTCGGTGCACCTATGTATGGTACACTGGGCTAGTGCCGACACAAAGCCAACGACAATGACTTCCGCGGTCTCGGGAACAAAACCCTTCAGGTACCGGTGGTAAGGGCTGCACAGTAGCGTAGTTTGTTGGGTTGTACTGGTGGCTACGTAACTGACGAGTCCCCCGTAGAAGCGCGGCGTAACAATGTGGCAATAGCTCGTTGGCTGAGAGCTATGATCGTAATGATGACTGTGTAACAGGTTCGAAACACGTTGATTGACCCATCATGGCTGAAAGGGCATCTTCCCCCAATCCCGCATGGGTCCAGCAGCTGCGCGTGCAGCTCGTCGATCTTCTCAGCGGATGGATTGGGGTCCGGCACATCGATCCGGATGGGCTTCCCGACCAGAGCCGCAACAGGCTTTGCATAAGGGATCAAGGGCCTCAACTGTCGGGCAAGGTTGCAGGGTTAATTGCACAAAACGGCTTCCTGGATCTCAGTTTGAGTTGATGCACCTCGAGAACATTCTCATCTTCATTAGTGCGCAGACTCGTTTGTCCGTCAAAAAACCTCTTCGGAGACCCCAACTCTAACAGCCCAAGGACCAGCAGCTGTTCGAACAAGACATGCAGACGCGAACATGCACAAACAACGTAGCTGGCAGGGTAAGTCAAGTCTCACATCTGGCAGTCTGACTCCGCGGTGCCAAGAGGCATTCCCAGCCGCCCATAGCTCAATGGCAGCGAAACCCTGACATGCATCGAACCATTGCCACTGCCAGACTGTCGCTCCGCATGCTCCAGAAGTTACAGTTACTTCTGCGTCAGGTTCGGCACGCTGGGATGATGCTGATCAGAGTCGATTTTTGGGGAAAAGGGCGTGCTGGCAGATGCTCCACGGAGCCCTGGGGGCATGCGCCCCACGCTGATGACAAAGCCGCAAACTTATCCGAGGATTTGCAGTCGAGACTCTTGAGGCGTCTGCTCATTCGCATCATGAAGCCACCAAGTCCGGAGGACTTGTCCTTGAAATTGCTGGGTCCAGGTATTTTATGAGTTTCGATGCTCTAACGCTTTTCGGAGGGTGATTCGCTGCTTAGCTCCTGAGAACTTGAGACGCTGAACAGGGCCTAGACCTTATGCAACCAGTCTCTACCAGAGAGTAACGGCATAGTATCAATGACTCTGGTGTCCAAGCAATGTGGATTGTGTACAGCATTACCACAGTTTCCCGGATTCTTCCAGTGTTAGTGTCAGTGTATCAGGCGCGCGAGCACGAGGAGCATGACTGCTGTGAGTAGCCTTGTCCTATGTGCACCTAGACTGGAGCTGCACCCCAAACGCGTGAAACCCTCCAGCCTTCGGCCTACTCCGCCGACCCCCGAGGCGCAAGGCTAGGTTCCTGCTTGGTTACACATTGAGCTTGGGTTTGCGACTTCTACAGACGGCTTCTAGATTCTAAGGTCTAATGAGAGGTGCTAAAGATTTGAGTAAAAGCTATAGCCCAGTTGCCAGCATCGTGAAGAGCTGTGTGTGGCCCAAGCCATAAACAGGAACGATGTCCACGCCAGCCTCGAGTCAAGCACCACATGCAGGAAGCGGGGCAGAGTATTCAGCCCGCCTGGAGCGCGAGCCGGATGAAGCCTTTGCGGCTTTTGATGAAGACCTGCAGCAATTTTCGAGGGCCTTGTCTTGGGCACAACGGCAACGAAGAACTTTGACGCCCTACCACGAAGCAAAGGCCTGTGGAACTTGTGCGGAGCCGAAGCATACAGGTGCGATGCAACCCAGCCTGTTCCAAGTCTGGTCGCATCCTCAGAAGGAAGGTGTCTCTGCGTTCAGCGTAACCGAAAACTGGACACAGGTCATCATGGGCGGGACCACGCATGCTCGTCGTATTCGCACACACACACAAATGTATGTTTGTATGTATGTATGTATGTATGTATGTATGTATGCATGCATGTATGCGTGTATG